ACAACCCACAATGTGGGAAAAAATCTTCACCTGCTCTTCCTCAGACAAAGGTCTACTATCTCGAATCTATAAAGAACTTAAAAAAAATCAGACCTCCCAAACTTAAAGACCCAATCCAAAAATGGGCAGCTGAAATGAACAGACATTTCTCAGACAAAGAAGTAGAAATAGCAATATATAAAAAAATGCTCAACATCACTGGTCATTCAAGAGATGCAAATGAAAACAACACTGAGATTCCACCTTACTCCAGAAAAGAGGGCTGCTATCATGAAATCAACCAATAACAAATGCTGGCAGGGCTGTGTGAAAAGAGAAACCCTGCTCCACTGCTGGTGGGAGTGTAGATCGGTGCAACCACTGTGGAAATCAGTATGGAGATACTTCAAAGAACCAGGACTAGAAGTCCCATTTGACCCAGCTATTCCCCTGCTGGGGATCTTCCCCAAAGAATTAAAAGAATCATACCACAGTGATATATTTATACCCTTGTTCATAGCAGCACAATTTCTAATAGCTAAAACTTGGAAACAGCCCAAATGCCCATCAACTGGAGACTGGATCAAGAAAATGTGGTTTTTGTATAAAACAGAGCACTACTTAGCCATAAAAAATGAGAAATTAGAGACATTTATAGCTAAATGGATGCACATTGAGGCGATACTCTTAACTGAAATAAATAGGACACACATGTGTAAATATCAAATAGTTTCTCTAGTGTGAGAAACTGAAAGTGTAAATAAGGACTAAAAGGTATGATAATATGAACTAGGAAGAAAAGGGGCAAAGGTGAAGGGGAAGTGAGGGGGTAGGGGAAAGGAAAGGGAATGGAATAAATATGAGAAAATGGAAAAGTGAAAACAAAGTCTTTGTAAATAGTGAGGGATGGAGGGGTTGAAGGGAGGGCAGGGGAAGGGTGAAAAATAAGATCCAAGAGATATTATGTAAAGGTGCAAATTTCCAAGGATGAATGTCATTATATTGTATTGTAAAATGTATCAATAAAATAATATTAAAAAAATTATATGTGCAGATATGGATGGCTCAGGCAACTCTATAGCCACAATCTACCTCGTGATGTTCTTTATAAAACAAGAAGAATATATACTGGCTGTTATAAATAGTAAATGTTTATTGTGTATTAAGATATTGAAACACTTTAAAGCACTAAATTTTCCCTGCCAATATTTCAAATCTCTCCAAAACATAATTTCTTAGAGAAGATGCCTCTTTATACCAAAATCATCACACTGCAAGTTCTATGTGCAGACTCCATTGTCTGGTCCACTTCCACTTTTTCACTTCATTTTAATCTCAAATAAATTTTTTTGCAATCCTAATAACTTGCTTCTATTTTAACCACATAATTGTGTTTTTCTTTTGTTTATGTGTCCGTGTACGTGTTTACGTGTCTGTGTTCACGTTCGTTTTGGCTTTCTTCTTCCAGGGCCTCACACATGCTAGCGAAGTGCTCCACCACTTACCTACATGCCCAGCCCTTTTTTTTTTTATATTGATACAAGGTATCTTTTTTTTTTGATACAAGGTATCTTTAAATTGTCCAAGCTGGGCTTAAACTTGCAATCCTCCTCGTCACCACTCTCCTACCCTCAGGAACTGAGATTACATTCCCCATTAAGCCCAGCCCATATAATTCCTTCTAAATAAACAGAACAGGTATAAAAGCACACAGCACTATCATCATCTCTATCCTCAAAGACTTAATCTATAGCTACTGAACAGAATGAGAAAATATTTAGTGTTTTTTTTTAAGTTAAGCTATAGCTGGAAAGGAAAATCTAATTTTTCTGAACTTCATATTTTATGAATACCTGTAAACATTATCCTATAGCCTGACTTGTGTATAAAACTCACACTTCTCAGAGCCCTAGTAGAGACAAATTAGGAAAACATTGAAAGTTACTATACTTACAAAAAATTAACCGATCATAACTTACACCTTTGAAAACAAATTTAGCAACTCCTAACCAGCAATGGATTTCTAAAAGACTAGAAATTGAGGCTTCTGACACTAATAGTCTAAGAAATAGTTTGGATTCAGGACTGCCACAATTATAAAATTAATAGTGCTTCAATGGGCACCTGGTAACACTGATTACTTCTGAAATGAAAGAACTAGGACAGGCTGCAGGTGAAAAGACTTATTGTAGACATCTAAGTTAGACTGAAATTAATACGCTGTCAGAGAGCAATCTGGCCCTCGGAGTCAGTACAGATGAGGCATATCAAAATTGTGGCTGGTGGGGAATTTGAAGAGCCAGGCCTGAAGATGGAAACTTGCTAGCCAGGCCTACAAGCCTCCCTTTAGAGATAAAAAAGCATCTTGAGATTATGCTGTAATTAGCACCACCTGGTCCAGTGAGCCTAGACAGTCCATCGGATGCATGGGTGGGTGACCATAAGGACCCTTTCCAGGAATGCTTTTGTTTTATGTTAGAAGTTACTGATAAGCTGAAGCTGATGCTACCATAAACTCTTGCTATATGATTCATACCCGTTAGATCAATATGAACTAAGCAACTATACTCATAATTCTATAGGTTAATTATAATTTGACTCATAGCTACCCAAGTTGTGATTTTGCATTAAACACATGGGCTTTTGGGGAACAATCATCTAAACTACGGCACATAGCTATAAAGAACCCATGAGATAACCTGACAAGGTTCCCTATGACCAAAGATGAGATAACTTTAGACTTAAATACTATCTGTAAAAGATTAGAAAATGTAAAGTTTAAATACATAAGCTCACAGTGATACTTTAAAAAGCTATCTACCTCTAGGGGATGACAGGGAGTAAATTCATCAGTGAGAAAACTGGCAAATAAAAATCAAGCATTTATCCCATCTTTTTTTATATGAACTTAATTGAAGATTATTCAAAATATAGATAGGAAAAAAATCTCTTTATAGAAAGAATAAAACTAATAACTAAATAGGAAATCATAAAACTAGAATATCATCATTTTGCAACCATCAGGAAATCATGAGGCACTGAGCATCAATAGCAGCTAACATCCCATATCCCTCATGATACACCACCTCAGTCTTGCCAGAGGAACTGAACCTAAATCCTAGTAATTGGATTAATCTGACAGTTTAGGGGACAGAAGACAGATGAGCCACACTATGATACAAGCAGTAAAATCCAGCTGTGAGAACTCTACAGATAAAAGGAAAAATATATGATGGACAAGGGGAGGACTATAGATTAAGAGAGACTTAAAAGATAAGTGAAATATAGTATTTGAAAAAATAAGGCTAAGCTACAGAGTCTAAAGATGCATATTTTTAATGAAAGTATAAATAAATACAAGAAAAGTATTATTATTTATAAAATAAGAGTAGTTAGTTCTAGCAGAAGTAGAAGGTGAAATAGAGGTGGGGCACTCAAGGAAGATTTACTGGCTGGCAAAGTTTTAATTCTTGACATAGGTCATGACTGCAAAAATATGTGTCATGTAGTAATTCATTAAGGTATAAAAATGTTCCTACAATACAGATAAAAATGTGTTGTAGCCAAGGATGTATACTTTTGCAAATTAATAAAAGGGTGATGTATGCGTGGGAATATTAAAAAATTCTTACATTTTATCTTACCATTTTCTGCCTTATATTCCCTTTTCCTATGCTAGAAAACAATCCTAAATCTCATTTCTGTGAATTTATGGACTGAAGCTTAGGAAGGGGAACAAGTAATGGAAGAATATTTGTACATGCTAGTTCTTGAGCCAAGGGCTTCATTTCCATGTTGCTTCATTTTACTTTTATACCCTATAACTAAAGTATTTACTTATGATTTAGGATGTCATGCTCCTCCCTCACCTTCTTTAAGGGGGAACATTTAAAGTTTAATACAGAATAATGCCTGGAACTCAAACTGTCCTCACAAGCTAACCAGGATCATCCACATATTGTTCATAAGAGCAAAACACACACACATAAAAAAACAAAATTCAACCAATAACAGTTGAGTGTAATTAGTCACAATTACACCTTAAAATGATATTACAAATAAATTTTTCTTGGCTCAGCAATATATAGTGTTAATTTTCTTAAAACAAATTAACATTACCCCATTTTGTTTCAAATATGTACATATGCAGGTGTGGAAGTGTAAGATTTAATGGTGTTTCTTCTTAATATTGAAGTGTTTTAAAATATTTTCTTCTTTTTGCTTATCTGCATTAACTGATTCTTTCACAATACATATAAATTGCAGTCTTGAAAAGATGAAATAACTCAAAGTCACACCATGAGGTAAGAGCCATGATTAGAATCTTAATCTTTACCACTGTGGAACCTGATCATTTTTTACTACACTGTGACCCATGCCAAATTCAGCTCACTCATGAAACTTCAATTGTAATCTTAATTACTGAAAAGACATTCTCACCTTATTGGCAACAGCATTAACACTTGGTCGGGCATCAAATATAAAGATTTTGTGTGACTGGGCATTGGAATCCATGATAGCTTGAAGGTATTTTTCATCTTCTTTACTTCTCTTTCCACTCACTCCTACCATGGGCTGGCTACATCGTGTGACTGTGGCTTGACTTTCAGGATGAATCCATGATAAAACCTTTCATGAGGGGGAAATGATAATACATACTTTATATGTTTTTCCGTTTAGAAATCTTGAAAACAGTCCTTGATAAAGCTCTGCTTTTTAACTGGATCCAAAACTCGGTCATGAAAGGGTAGCCCAAGCTGTGGGAAAAATATCACTTTTCTTTCAAACCAATTCTGGTATATGGAAACCTGGACTAATCCTTAATCAGGCAGTCATTTATGAAAGTCACTGATTTGAAAAGTGGTATTTCTAGAAAAAAAATAAACTAAAACAGGACTAAGTAAACCCCACTCTGAAAGTTTTATTACTGCATCAGTAAAACTGCCCAACTCCAAAATCTTCAGAATGTATGAATTTTGTACCTAAAACTATTTAAGCTGATCTTTCAGTATCTATTCATTATTAATTTTTTTTTTTTAGTTTTTATTGGTACATTTTAGGTATACAATTCGTTTACATTTATCATTGGTTGTTCGTACCTATTCATTATTAATCTGTAAATTGTTCTTCTTTCTTGACTTAATGGAAAAGAACATTTATGATCATAAATAAAGAATATATAAGATAAAGAAATACTGAATGATAGACATAGGAAAATTGTTTTCATGTCAGAAACTAGGCAATTACTTTAATTTTTAAATTTTCTAGTTCTAAAATTTTCATGCTTTTAATTATACCAAAAACTCAGTCTCTAATACTGCCACAAAAGTTTGCTGTTACAGGTATTTTTTTTTATCTGCATTCATTCTCCAATTCATTAAGCCCAGCATTAGGTAGAGTATAAAAGGGTTGGCGAAGTTTCATCAAAACATCATACTTACTGGGATACGGCCCCTTGACCTGAAGGATGCCACTCTCTTTAATTCTTCATCAGGAATATTTGCTGGCACAACCAAGAGTGCAGGATATGTATCACAAAGTTCATATCGTTCATTTATCTTTGTTATTCTCCAGCTTTCATTCGGAATTCCCTACACATCAAATAAAACATACGACAAATTATTAACTAAAATATTAAGAGAGAACAGGACAGTAGGTAATCTAGTCAACTCTCGTATCTCCACATTTCTTAAACTGTTAGAACAGTGATTGTCTGCCTGTGATGGCCAGGCTTTTAGGATGAAACATTGTAATGTAGGGATCTCTGTTCATTTTTGCACCAAATTTTATGTTAATAGATCAATTCATTAAATATTAATAGAATGTGGGTCTATGCTAAACAGATTGGTTAGAGGAGGGTAGAAAGAAACAGTAAGACTGCAAATGTTTCCTGTCTTAAAAGAGAACACAGTCTCAATTTGATGAGATGACTGATTCTGATGTCATTCATCTATACAAAGAAATTTCAGAGGGCAGGGACCAAGTATCCACCGGCATTCTGTATATATAGTTATCACTCTAATACCTAAAATGAATTTCCTCTCCTGCTTTGTGTTACTAATGACATATTGCTGACATAAGACATACTACAAAACCAAAGGAACAATGGAAAGGCAAAGACACAGAGCAGATGAGAAATACTTAAAACAACTTCTTAAACACAAACCATTTATTATACTCTCTGGTGGTCCTTCAATATCTACTATGTTGTAGTATACTAATCCACATATAGGATTACTTAACAAGATACTAAAAATTTTCCATCCTTCTTTGTATAGAAAATAAAACATTATATTAAATAAATGGTTTAAATTAACAAATTAAATATTTTAAATTCTATGATCCCTAAAAACATATCAACTAAAAAAGAAAGAACTAAAGAAAACAAATTATGGTGTAAAATACATTTAGTGAGCATCTACTATATATAGGCTCTGAGCACACCTCTTTTCCCCACATACACACACATTATTGTAATCAGATTTTATCAGTTTCATTCTGTAGATGAAGAAATTGTATTATGGTTTGTAATTTGGTCAAAGCTAAGCATCAGGAAGTGGTAGAGAAATTCATGTGCATTCCAAGTCTATGCTAAAAGTACAGTATTCTTCAAGAAAAATTTACTCTCTCCTGCCTTACTAAATTGTTATAAAAATCTAAAATAAGCAGAATGTGCTCTCCTTCAAAGTGATATTTTTCAAACTGCTGCCATTGGATATTAAAGTTAAGAAAGTAGGCAAAAATTTCCTTCAAGTAATCAAGTGCCAAATACTCTCCACAGGAATTTCTATCTATTCCTAGCTGTGGTCTGCTTCTTCACAAATATGTTAATATAAATTCTGTTTATTCCATTTAAGTAAGCCTACTCTCAACTTGCTCTTTTAATCTACAACTCTCCTTTCCTCTAGCTTTCTTCAACTATATATATTTAGGGTACAAGAGCCTTATTTATTTCCAAAAGAAAAAGTAAAATTTCCCTTAGAGGGTTAAAAAGAAAGGACATAGTGAACTGACAAGTTTAAGGAAGTGGGATTCAAGCAAGAAATCTGGATACTGCATTTCATTCTTTCCCTTTCTTTATCCTCCACCTCCCATCAACAGCCAAATTTTACAATTTTTTTCCCAAAAGTTCCAGAACAGAAATGTGCTAACTTATCAAACCTCATCACTAGTTCCTGTTTAAGCCATTATTATTTTTCTCTTGTTCCTCTGTAATCCAGTCTCCTCAAAATCTTTTAAGATATAAAGATGATTATCATTCACCTGGCTAAAACTTATCAATCCCTATCCATTGCTTTTCATATACAGTATAAAATTCTTTACAGGACCTGGCAAAGCCCTTGGAAACCTTGATCTCTCCAGATTTATCCTGCCACCATATACTATAGCCTATATAAAACTACTTTTAGTTTCCAGCTTTATGGTCTCTCACTAAAGTATATGCTCTATCAGAGTACTAGTATACTATAATAATAATGGAGTCATCCTTCATTAAATATGTGAAATATGAAAGTTGTCAGAATCAAAATGGAATCATTTGTGTCAATTGTACCAGAAGGAAATAAACCTGTAAGGTTATGAAGTAAGAGTTCTTATACATAACTGCCTGATAGTTTCACAAAAGACTGCCAGAACCACAAGCTTGCATAGCAGCCAACCTTACAGAAAAAGTAATTCTACAAGCACACTGGCCCAGTAACTGTTTAACCTTGAACTGGCACCATTCTCTTGTGACAAAGGAGTCTTGATTCAAAATATCTGATGAAACCATCATTTTTGATTCTAAAAACTTCTCCTTGCCTCAATCTCCTTGAGTATGCCCCTAGTTTATTACAGTATATGTATTTCCACCGTAATGTTCTGCTATTCTTAAATAAATATTATTCTTTGGAAAATCCATTTTTTGTTTTTGTTTTAGATTGACAAATAATAAACTCTACAAAGGCAAGAATGTATTTCTGTTTTTGTATTTTAGCTACTAATATTTAGTAGGTATTATATGAATTAATGAATACATGAATAAGTATACAAACGAATATATCAAGGAATCCTAGTAAGCTTCCATAAGAAAAATTAGTTTCAGAGTTTTCTTAGAAAACATACAGACAGAGCTAAGAGGGTTGGATCACTTGAGAAGCATGTATCTGAGATCCTATGGTATTGTACTCCAACCCAAAGAAGCACTTACATCTCTCTCCCATCCTTCAGGAATCACTACCAGGAGAAGAACCACTGTAACCACTGGGAATGACACAGTGACAGGGTGGTGGTACTAACAAGAATCACTATCTTAATAGTTACTGTCCTCATTCTTAGACGACGACCCTACCTCTACGAAAGGAACAGCCTTTCAAGCAGAAAACTGTTGGCTAATCAGCACATACTCTCTCTTGTAGACAGGGTTAAAGACATGTTAACAACTGCTGGTCTTTGGCATGTTTTCCTACTATCCATGCATTTCACTGACCTCGAGTTAATGTATCTATTTGTCAAAGTCAAATTACAATTAGTTTTTCTTAGTTACATTCCAGTTCTGAGAATAAATTCTGTTTTCCTTAAATGAATCTGAGTGTTTTCCAAGTTTGATAAACATGCCAACCACCTTATAATCTGGTATTTCTGTAGAAGACCATGATTATTATCTTCACACAGATTTTTACTGATTACATGATTTTTTCTTAACCTTTTCCACAAATTCTAGGGTCCTTCGTGTAAACACTACATGATTCAAGAATAAATTAACACTCTCCTACTAAACACTCTCCTACACAACAAACCTAAATGGCTATTAATATTTTTGTTTTGTTTTTTAAAAAAAGATATAATGAAGCTGGACACGGTGGCACAGCCTGTAATTCCAGCACTCGGGAGGCTGAGCAGGAAGACTTCAAGAGTTCAAGGGCAGGCTAGGAAACATGGCAAAACCCTGTCTCAAAAAAACAAACAAAAAAACTCCCTCATCAAAAAAAAAAGTCTAATTTCTTTTAGTACTATTATGTATACATCTAGAGGGTTAATGTGATTTTCATGTTTTGTTTTACTTGCAGCACACAATAAACTTCTAAAAAGAGAAATCACATTCACTGTAATGTATTATGTGCTTACACTAAAATTTAATACCAAGGATAAAACATCAGAGTATTTACTTTTTTTTCTCCCCTGAACGTGATTTCTGTTTTCAGAGCTTTACAATGTAACAAATATAATAATTACTTGGGTATTTTTATAGTTAAAAAGTGTCTTCTTGTGTGTTATTAATCTTTCAACAATCTCATTAAGCAATACCTACCACTAACTAAAAAATGAAGTCACTGTGACATGAATAACTCACTCAAGAGCACACACGTTAAGTGAAAGAGCTAGAGCTAAAATTCAAAACGTTTTTTAAATGTTTTAGAATTAGAGTGTTAAAATTGTATAAGTTTATGAATATACCAAAAATCAGTGGATTACATATTTTTAAAGATTTTATATGTGAGTTACACTTCAATTTTTAAAAATATAAAGGAAGTTCTGTTTATTCTGAGATGGTACAATCTCCAAAGTGCATTAAAAAAATGTTTTAAAGGGTACAGCATTATGTGCATTGTATGCCACCATATACATTAATAAAAAAATAATGCAGATACATATGTATACAAGCTTTGTAGGTATGAAATCTTTGAGAAGGATATATAAGCAACCAATAACATTATTTCCTACAGGGAGGAGAAATGGGATGGGTAGAGAACAGAACTGTCCTGGAAAGGAAACCTACCTTTCAATACACTATTTTGGACTTTTTGAATTTTGCAGAGTCTAAGTATTACCATTTCCTTTTTTTTTTTTTTTTCTTAATTTAAAGGGGGGGAAAGGAATGCACTGATGTTTTACCTTTACTCTTAAATTTTATTTAAGATATCTTCATTTTCTTAATAAACATAAAAGTCAATGAAAAAGAAACTAAGTATTCTAACTACAAACAGTGTCTTCACCATGAGACTAAGCTTAACTGACTCAGAGATAAAGTTTCTAATTCTAGAGGAGGAAAAAAAAAAAAAAGCCAACAAATTCACTAAGTCAAAGACCACAAACCACTGAGATCACTTAATGTAGAGTTCAATGTTCTAGTCTTACTGCCATGCTTTCTAATCTCATAATTCTCTTTATCATGGATATGGTTGTTCATTTACCCTTTATCTTCTTATTAAAAGTAACAGCTTTTCTTTGGACACGGTTACTTCATATGCCTTCCAAAGTTCTACATTGAATGCTATTGCAAAAGACAGGAATTTCTGCCCAAATTTCTCATTTTTACAGTACTAAAGACATTTGAATTTTCTGGTGGTTTTAACTATCTTTTATCCTATCACTGTATTTCTGGATTAGCATAAATTACTACTGTTACCTATTGGTTTTAAGTTGAACCCCACCTACTTTGTATTGTTTCAGATTTTGCCAATTGATGGTATAACTGAATAAGGAATTTTAAATTTCACTTGTCACATTAAGTCACAGTAAAAAATTCAACTTCAAAACAATTATATTTACCTCTCTAGTAGTAGTTTTTTATCTTCCTGGCTTTGGGAAATAAAGCCTAATAAATTACTATCTTTATAATTAAAATGTAGTGTTTGAAATCCAAATACAATTTTTAAGGATTTCATTTGAATTAAAAAATAATTTGAAGAACAAATCTAATAATCACCAAGGAAAAAAATGCTTGAATTTAAATTCCATCTTTCTTTTTTCCTTGTATCTCCCTACCACACACACCAGTAATGAGGATATAATCCAGACCTCATCATGCTAGGCTGGCTCAGGTTGGTCTTGAACTTTCAATTCTATTGCCTCAGCCTTCCAAGTACCTGGGATAACAGGTGTGTACTCTCAATGTAAATTCTTAAGAAAGCACAGTGGCATGAGAAAATTCAGAAATAGAAACGACTATTTTAGGAAAAGTTTAAGTATAGTAAGTATATATATATGTATATATATAGCATTTATCTATATATATAGCATTTATATATTAAAACACATATATACAGTATATATATATACATATACTATGTGTATTGTGAGACATTAAGTATATATGGGTGTTCTTTGTGAAGTACTAGACTGAGAAACAATAGAAGAAATGATACACTGAAACAGATTTTGAGAATAAACTTTGCTCTTTTAACTTTAGGAATCACATTAATAAATTTTCTAATATTAGACCATGATATATTATCCCTTTGTACACAACTGAATTTTTTATTAACATTTTATATAGAAGTTCTAAACATGTTTATAAGTGGAAATAGCCTATAATTTCTTTTCATTGTCCTTGCAGGATTCAATGTATGCTAAATTCATATTCTGAAAAAGGCAATCTTTCTTCACTGTCTTCTGAAAACTGTATTACGATTTACTTCTTCCTTAAATATTTACTAGAACTTGTCCCTGAAACCTTGGCATAGTGTTTTGGGGGCTAAGATATTTAGTTTTTTGTCCCTTAGAGTTTTCAGTATGTATTTACTTTCACAAGTCTTTGAGATTTATTTAGACATACATTTTTATTGTATCACTCTAATGCAAAAGGGAACTTTTAAGTGAAACAGATTAAGGAATTCCTAAGATTTTTTTCACTGTTGAGAGTGTGATTCTTGGGAATGGGATAAAATTTTATTTTAAAAAAAAGAAGAAAAAGTGATTCTTCAAAGTCTCTTGTGGCACACAAATTGGGATGTTGGTGATTTTCCTTGTGGTATCATTCTCTGTGCTATCAGGAGTGTGAATGGCATGGCATTTTTTTTTGTTTTATTTTTTTGTGTGTTTTTGCATAGTGCTTGGAATTGAAGCCAGGACCTTATGTATGTTAAGCAGCCCTTTAGCCCCTCATCTTGAGGTAAGGTTTTTGATCACATAGTTATGTAATACAGAAAAGATTTCACAGGCTTTCTATTCTTAAATCAATTTTGGTAGGTTTTATTTTTTTTAAAGCAATACATTTCACTAAAAAAAGTTAATTTAATTACAAAGTTATTAATAATATCTTGATATTATCTCTAACATCTGCAGAATCCATAAATATGTTATACTTTCCATTTGTAATATTGGTTAATTGGAAATTTTCTCCTTGTTTTCTTATGTTTCTCATGTAGGCTTGTCCAACCTGTGGCCTGTAGACCGCTTGCCCTTTATTGTTTCGGGGGGCGGGGGGGGTTAGGTTTTAAATTTTTTTTGTTGGTACATGTTTGCAGTGCATAACTATTACATTCCTCATGTGGAGGTAATACATGTACATAACACATCTTAATTCTCTTTTTCATCCCCTTCTCTATTACCTCTCCCTCCATCTCTTGGTCCCTTTCTCTTTTGCAAAAGCTCTATCTCCATTTTCCTATTATCTCTCTTTCATTTTGCTCTTTATTTATAATTTGACTTTCTCATATAAGAGAAACTATGTGATATTTAAGTTTGTATGTGATTTATTTCACTTAACATTGTGGCTCAAGGTGCATGCATCTTCCTACAAATAACTCAAATGTATCCTTTATGGAAGAGCAGTCCTCTTTTCAAAGTTATAATTTAAAATATTTTAAAATAAAAATGCTTTGCTATCTACATATTAATTGTATTATATATGTGGCCCAAGCCAATTCCTCTTCACTCAATGAGACTAAAGCAACCCAAGAGATTGGGTAATGTTAGTTTGATAATGCTACTGATCTTTCCAGAGACACTTACTGTCTCTGTTGCTCCTTACTGCATAGTGTTTCTATTCATTAATAGCTTCTCTTCATTATTTCCTTCCACTTTCTTTAAGCTTACCTCACTGTTCTTTTCTAACTCATTAAGATAAATTTTAGCTCATCGGGATTTTTAGACTTTTTCTTCTACTTGCATGAAGTGTTAAAAATTATGACATACAATGTTACCAAATTCTAGTATTGATAAATGTCTTATCTTTTAGACAAGTCTTTAAACACTGTAACAGTTTATCCCTTCTGAATTACATACTACCAATCATATACTTTTGATTTTATCTATATCACACTCCAGAAATTATTGTTACATGTTTATATAGTCAATATTCATTTAGATTTACCACACACTATTCTCTCTGCTTTTCATTTGCTTTTTGATCTCTATACTGTTTGGGGTCACTTTTATTCCACCTATGTATATCCTTTAGAATTTTCTGATAGTTAAAACTATGTTTTTAGTTCACTGTCATTCCTAAAGGATATAATTACTGGTATAGAATTCCTAACTGGTTGTTATTTTATTTCAATACAGTAAAGATAAAATTACATTTTCCTCTAGGTTCCACTGTTGCTTTTAAAAAATATGATAATCTATCTTTTAGATGCTTTTAAGATTTTCTCTTTGTGATGTTTTAATTCCTCTGTGCTGTGTCTACATGTTAATTTCTTTACAAATACCTTGTTTGAGATTTTGTTGATAAGTATCTTTGATCACCATGAGATTAATGCCTACTTACTTATTCAAATATAATTCCTGCGACCCATACCCTTTTTTTTTTTTTGGCAGTAATGGGGATTAAACCAAGAGCCTTTGCATTGAGCTGTATCCCCAGCCCTATTTTTTATTTTTTTAATTTTAAGACAAGGTCTCCTAAGCCACTAATTTGCCAAGGTTGTGTGTGTACCTGTTTATTCACATGCTATGCAGATAACACTACTACCTACCTCACAGAATTATTACGAAGACAAATGCATTAATATTTATGAAACGCTTAAAATTCCTGGTATACATATACACATACATATACTACATTGTTAAGTAAATAAAATCAATATGTGAAGGAGACTTGTTAGTTGACAAATATTTACAGAGCATATACCATGAGCCGAATACTCTTACATTTCATTCATGCATTCAGTCATTCAACAGATATTGTCTGTTTACCCATCAGTCACTGTGATACATCCTGAGGATACAGAAGTGAGAGAACAGACATAGTACCTTCCTTCTGAGAGTATAAAAAATAACAAAGAAATAACAAATGACTCTTTCAAAAGCTGCTAATATTACAAAGCAAATGGTCTCAGCACAGAAAAGACAGGAAGAATAAAGGGACAGATGGACACCAATAAATATTCATCAAATTAAAATGAATCAAAGTAGGGTAGAAAATACCTAGAAAGTTTTAATTTCCATATAAAACAAAAGATGTAATGAATTCATGACAAAATATAAAATTTGTGTGTGTATGTGTTTCCAGGAATAGAACCCATGACTTTGCACATGCTGGTCAAGCACTCTACCACTGAGCTACATCTCTAGCCCTAGAGGCATTATTCTTACTACTGTTACTGTCCAAAGTAAATCAATGCTACATTTAGCACAAGATAGAAAATAAATTACATCCTCTGTGTAAAAATTTTAGCTCTGTGGAGCTAAATTATAAAAGAAATAAAATGATTAAGAATTATTTCAGAATTACAAGATTCTCAAAAAAGGAAAAAATCTGAGTGAATATTAAATGTTACATAAGAGTGCTAAACTTTATATATACATATATTTATCTTATTTTTATCTTTACACTATTAAAATAGTCTTGAAATAAACCAATGCTTGAAAACTTGTAAATAAGTAAAGATTCTTAGGAGATCACTGGTCCACATTGGAAAGAAGTTTGAAGAAAATGAAAAGACAGAAGGACAACCAGAATTAGCATTTATTTAAAATCTAGAACAAAACAAAAAACCTAAAAAGCTGTTTACTTCTACTTACAAAGTCTTCATAATAAAAAGAAGATAGACTACAAAACTTGAAACAAAAAGAAATACATACCTGCCTTCTATACTCTAAAAGAGGGTCATATAGCTTCCATCCATTTTCTGGGAATATTTCTTTATATTCAAAAGCAAAAAGAGACTACAAAACAGAAAGTAGAATTAACAGCTAAAAGACATTGAAGAAATTAATGAATCAGAATATATCTTTATACTCAAAGTGGTCACTCATCTGCAGGAGTATTTTGTATCTTTTTATGCCTATATTATATTATTCTAGCCTTTGTTTTATATTTGAAAATTTATGGTGTTTCACATATTTTTAAGAATAGACAAAAGCACAGAAACCTGTCTACAAAATTTATCAAATGCTAACTTATGATTATGTTTCCTTCAGATATCTTTGAAAGCTTTTTCTAAATAATAAAAGACATTGTATTTTTTAAAGACATCTGCTATAATTAACTATTCTGTCATAAAACACACTGAAAAGCTTTTTATGAATTCCGTGTATAAAAATATTACATTTTTACAGACATAATAATAGAAACAATAGAATTTTTAAAAAAAGGAATTGAAAGTGGAATCAGAGAATCAATGTTGACTCCAAATTCTACTTGCCTACTAGCTATGCCTATGAGTTAATGCTTCTCTGATCTAGTTTCATCTCTACAACAAATAGAGGGACTACAGAAGTGAATAATACAGCATAAATGAAGGAGCTAACATTGTCACAAAACTCCCTGACAGCACAAAGAACTCAGTACTTCCCTACCTTTCACTCCCAAATTACTCTTAACTATCAGCTTTTAACTGCATATAGCTTTTCATAACAGAAACAACTTACATAGGAAGATCATATAATTATATAATGCTAATCCTGGAAGGAACCATAGAAATGAATTGATACAGCTTCCTCATTTCTTAAAGAAACTGGCCCAAGAGATTAGATTAAATCTGGGCCAGGGATTTAGCTCAGTGGCACCATGCCTGCCTGGCAAGCGCAAGGTCCTGAGTTCGATCACGGTACCTCCCCCGACCCCAGCAAAAAAAAAAAGATTAGATTAAATCTAAACTATACATCTCATTAAATGTCCAATGCAGAAATTCTAGACAGCTAGACAAGTTTCTATACACCAATAATTATAAAATATACTTTTCAAAGATAAGAAAAATGTTACCAGGTTATTAGAGACAGGAAATGCATATTTCATCAGATTCTCAAATATGGATCTTCTTGTTCGCCCCTCAGGTTTATGAGCAAATCGCAAATTCCTAATATCCTAGAAAAAATTAGGATCAAAGTTAATCATTGATTTTCACTTTTTATTTAGTAAATAAATAAGATTACTTGGAGCTACCTTGTAAAATTTTGCAATCTATGATTATGGGATACCCAAAAGCAGATAATAGCTCCTGGAAGGAGGTAGATTTAAAATGGTTCAGTGGGAAAAATAAAAAGAAATACAATATACTCCAAGACAGAGCAGAATTTTGAGAGCAGAAAATTTACATATGCTAATGGACTCAATATAGGCCAGTAAAAGAGGTAGCAATGGATACATATACAGGATATTAGACATATTGTATCTGAAGCTTAATGTCATGACTAATAATCATTATCATTGTAAGTCCTTCCCTATGAATGTTCATTTTTTGCAATGAATTTCTCTAGTAAAAGCCTAATTAACTGCTATTACATTTCCATCATCTCCCTGTCACTTCCCAGGACTCATTTCCATTTGTCCTCCTCTTCTTAATTCTGCTTAAAAGACTTCCATCACTCCACAGCCAAATTCCATTCACTGGCAGGAAAATTTTGAACAGTTTAGTTGGTATCATTCAGGCTCTACAGTCAGACGGCAGGACCAGAGCTTTCTTCCATAACTGTTCTCCAGCAATGTCCTTTACTTAGGCTGAATTCAGATACTCATGTTCTGGCTTACCAATGTCTTAACAGTACTTAGAAAAAAATTGTAGGTCAAGAATAATTTCAATACTATCCATTTTATTTAAATGTTTTAACCTAGGCAGAATTCAAAATAATTTTATTATACCTCATCATATAAAATGAAACACAGAGAAACTACACTACCATTTACCTACAACATATGACCAAATAAAACATTGTATTACAAATCTGATCCAAAATCCAAGATTGCTAACTTTACTATATTTTAAACTAAATGTGTAGGAACTGAAGCTGAGATCTTATTTTCATACTTTTATAACTAGTAAAGATACTCAGAATCATTGTTAACTGCAGAGCTTTCTGAAAGTGACATAGCAGAGGCCCTACAAATGTGTTGAGTTTATTGACAGTGGTCTTGTTCCATGTAAAAAGTATATATTTTAAAAGACCGAGATCTCAAAAATCAGCCTCTTCCACATCTTTTTATATTCTACGATGCACTCATTATTAGGCTACAGAGAAGTGATCAAGAGACTATATACTTGACAAATGGTCAACAGTTATACTCAAAGCCCTCCTGACTACAATGAAAAAGTATTAAAAAATTACTAAATTATTAGTAGTAATACTAAATTCATAAAACATCAAAGATTATCATAAGGAAGCATTCTGAATTATACATGTGCTGTTTCGTTTACTTTGGGCAATGATAGAACAAAAGAAAGGTACAATATGATCTTGAACTGAGATGTGCATGAGTTGATTAGGCGACAAAATATAGAATAGTGACCTGGAAAAGTAGCAAATTACAAGCCAGACTGGGCTAAATAGGGAGTTCAAAGCCAGCCTGAACTACACAATGAGACCCTGTCTCAAAAAAAACAAAAGAAAAGCAGCACATTAAACACCTATGACTTAATGAGAAATGTAAATGTTACCTTCTACTAGATTAATATCTTTTTCTACTAGCTTAATATTTCTAGTATGAAATCTACTTATTTCTGAAATTCATTTCCACATACACTGCCCATTTAAACTAGCTTTTCAAACCACATAGCATACACATTATAAAATTTACCTTGCATACGGTTTCTAATCCATAGGAATTTTCACCTCGACTAGAAGCACCACCGATTTTTTCTACTCTACTTATCACACCAAGAGAAGCATCTAAAACAAATGGAGGGTCCTAAAAGAAGGAAAGAAAAAACACAACTGAGCAACTGATATTGTATATTACAATTAAAGACCAAAATCTTAATCAGAGCACTGCGGATGTAGCTCAGGGGTAGAGTATTTGCCTATGTGTGAGGTCATGAGTTTGATCTCTAGCACCACACATACACACACAAAACAGTTAAGCAATCTTAATCAGGAATTAAAAATGATCACAAGTGAACAAAACTAGTTGTAAACAACACACAGATATATACAAAATATTTAATCCAACAAGTCTTACCCGTTCCATGCTTTTGAAATATAACCTGTAATTCGTGACAGTCAGTGTTCCTCGAACAGCACCAGTGAATGGACATATGTAAGTTACGTCTTTGGCTGAAAAAGGCAAAAATATCCACTGCTTATACTATGTTTATATATTAAAAACAGCCTCCATGTCTTTTAAAATTATTCTGACTGCTACTTTAATTTATGCTTTTTAAATAATACCAGAATTAATTACAAGGGAATTCAGTAGCCTATTACAAGCCTCCAACTCTGCACTAACCTGGGGAAAGATAATAAATGGGAAGGACTGAAGAGGTAGAGGGCTAAAATATGAGAAAGAAACAAAGATGATTACTATCCTTATCGGCTAAAACAAGTGTGATGGCTGAAACAGAAGAGGAGAGGTTGGCTGGTGATGGTGGGAATGACAGTACATGTATAAGGAAGTCAGTGTTCATCTTATCAGTTTCTACATCACCTATCTCCTAGTTCTTGGCCACAGTCCAGACTGTCAATATATCTTTAAAAATATAATACTTAAAACATATATAATGCTAGAAACTTCTGATATGATTATATTTCCGGGGAAATTATTATATGTGAAATAAAATATATACAAAACATAATTTCTTTTAAAAACATGCTAAGAGGATATTATATTGCTGACCAGTCAACTCTGTAGAGAAATGATCACATGTAACGTTTTATTAATGATAAATGATAAATCTATATGGTATTATGCTTTTTAAAACATGCATTCATTGATTAGGCGCGATAACTCAGCAACCACTAGCTCAAAATAGTCTTTAAAATGGCAGAGTTCATAAAGACCAATGCAAGTTTTTCATATCTTAAAATATTTCTACTATGCTATTATTGAGGAAAATCAGCATATGAAGAAGTATCTTTTTCATTACAAGGAAACAAGGTACAATTTTGTGGAGCAACAACTTCCTAAGAACCTTTCAAGGGACTTCTGGGAAAACTTAGAGCCGTGATAGATTTAGTAAGATACTGTAATTTCTTGACTTTGTCCATATTTATCACTTTAAAAAACTGACTGTTTTTGTATGGAATTTGAAATGAGACCAATTATTTAACAGTCACTTCTAACATTCAAAATAGTTCCTCAGGAATGTGCAACTATGAGCTACATTTTTAAATCACTGTTTCCAATGCATGTGTCATTTAAAAGGAAGCTTTTAAAATTAAATAAACTTATCATTATATATTTACACAGACTTGCTTACACACATATTCTTCTTTTGTGCTTATGAACCTCAACTAGGAAAGCTTTATTCAACATTCTAAAAACATTTCTGGATTCCATCGAGAGCCAGTTTTTTACTAAGGCAAGAAAAATCAGTTTTATTATCCTATAACCCTTCTCAGGATTTATTCCCTCTTTTTCCAATACAATTGGACTCTCTTTATTTTAATATCATGAGACAATATACATAAAAGTGCATATAAAATTGAAAGCACTGTACAAATACAAGGGTTCATATCTATGTTACTACTGTCATCATTAGTTTCTGCTTTATTCTCTCATTCCTCCTAAGACTAAGTCACTGTCATGAGAGATGCTCAGCCAGTTTGTCCCAAATAGAAGGGAGATTCTAGATGACTAAATTGCTTACCACAGCAATGACAATAACAACTAGCACAGGGAACCAAGGACAAGTTTACGAAGTACTTTTCATCTGAGTACCTCAGCCTTCACAACTCTTAAATATAAGAACACATTTACCTACAATTTTAGGTAAGAAAATCACAGTACAGAAAGGTGAAATAAATTGTCTAATGTTTCAGAATCAGTGTTAGGATGAAGGCTTCCAGTTCCTCTGACCAAAATCCTAAACCTCTTTCCACAATTCCTTAGATGGCAAGGCTAAGCCACTAACAGCAGCCTGATTAACGTCTATTTCCTGAATTAAAGGTTGAACTCCTGCAAACTGGAAATACTTCTATTACTGAGGTGGTCGAGCCACAATACACTTCATTTCCTAAGATTCTTGGCTGATGCACCTAAAATGACTTTAACTATTTCTTTTGAGAAATCTAAACCACATATACATATTAAGCAAACTTAAAATCCAAGCTCTTTTTCCATGAAGATATCAAAGTTTATCCTAACCTTATAGTTTTTTCTGTTAAATTTAATTTCTACACCATAATCAAGTCTGTAAAATTTTAAATTAGAAAATTTAAAATGGTATTATTCTAAATTTTGCAATAATACTGTCTAATGGCATCAAAAGAAGTCAGATTTACTGATCCTCTCAAAGTTTCATTGAGATCACAGAGGAAGAATACCTAATAATTTCTGTGTGGTATACCAAAATGACCTTGAGAAATGTACATCCATGAGAAAGATAATACATACAGGCAAATTAATACACGAAAGCATGTGACCTTGAAGGAAGAGAAAAAAACATCCTCAAAGTATACAGAGATGGAAAAAGTCTATTTAGCCATAGGATCAGAGAAGCGTTCAAGGAATATAGGCATGGGAAATTTTCTCAATGGTGGTTATTCTTTAGATAAGCAGAGATGTTGACAAAGCACTAATGCAAAACAACTTAATCCAAACTACAGAATCTGGAAAGTAAAGTATATATTCTGACAATCCAGTCTGGCTCTACCCAGTTTATCTTATACTACACTCTCTCCACTCCTCACTTTCCCTCTTTAGTTCCCATATAATTGTAAAGTGTTAGTGTTCACGAAGGCTATGCTCTGGGAGCCTCTTCTCATTCCACCCACTCTCTGGGTTATTTTCTTCCTCCTGTTTTTAACTAATACCCATGTGATAGTGATTCCTAAGTATGAATCTCAAGTCTAGATATGTCTTTATTAGATATAGTGGTACCTCAGTTCACAAACTTAATTCTTTCCACAATTCTGGTCACAAATCAAATTAGATGAGAACTAAATCAAATTCAATGGTTAGGTTCAATGTTGATCTTACAGGGAAATTTGATTTGGTTCTAGTCCAATTCAGTTTGCAATCAGAATCATGGAAAGAAGTTTGTGAACTGAGGTACCACTATATTTCCAGTAGAGGAGCTCAATGGTAGAGGGCTTGCTCAGCATGCAGAAGGCCCTAGGTTTGATTTGCGCGCCCATCTCTCAGGTCTCTCACAGATACCTAAAATTCAATACACATAAACATTATATCAAGGTCATAAAAACAGAGAGAAAATAAATTCAAGAAATTCTGTGCAATTAGCTCCTCTAGATCTGGTAGCTGGTTGGATGCTAAGAGTTCAAAACAAAGGAGCAGCCAAAAAGGACAACTAGATTTCTGACTTAAGTGAATGGATAACTCAGACTGATGTCATCTCAGAGACATCAGAGAAAGAATCCAAGAAAAAGAGTAAGTTTGGGAATAAAGGTAATGGTGATGATTTTAGTTCTGGAGATGCTAGATATACTGTACTTCTCTATCATATGTGGCATAGAATAGCCAAGAGCACGTGCCTATGACACAGTAATTTGCTTACTAACATTACAACAGAGGCTCAAACTAGAAATACAGATTTTACAGTCATCAACCCATATATGGTACATGAAGTCACTAATTTGGATATGATCAATTTAAAAGGCATATAACAGGCCAGGCATTGCAGTGCATGCTTGTAATTCCAGCACTTGCAAGAATGATGCAGGAGGTTCTCAGACCAGCCTGGGCTACATAGTGAGTTCAAGTCCAGCCTGAATTACATAGTTAGACCTTATCGCAAAAAACAAACAAAAAGAGTGTACAAGAGAGAGGTACCTGGGTCAAGGATGAAGTCCCAGGGAATGTTGATACTAAATGAAGAGGAGCCAATGAAAGAGACATAGATACTAACTTGAAAGTCTTTTATAAGGCCCTATCACAGCAGAAGCAGTACAGGCATTAGGTTCAGAATAGTAAAAAAAAAAAATGTCACAATGCTAGGCATAATTGATTAGCTAGGTAATCGCCATATGCCTTAGTTTCCTTATCTACGAAATAGGGCCACTAGTATCTTTTTTAGAATATTACCTGAGAATGACTAAATGAGACAGTAAGCACACAGTAATAACTACTATCATAGTTATATACAAGTAACTACAATTACTACATATTGTCACTATATAATAATATACATATATCTAACTCAGCAAGTAAACAGACTGAAGTTTAAGATATACATAAAACTGAGTAAGAAAAAAAATTGAACCGTTTATGTGTCAAAAGCAAGAAGAGAATACCATGCTAAATACTAAGAAGTTACATTTAGTAGTTAGTAACAACCCATTAAGAGAGTAGCTCACTCCTTTGGCTTGTTCAATTTTACATAAGACATTTAACAAGGGAAAATAATTTATGACATCCTTTTAAAAATTATTACTGACAATAAGTGAAAAATGCTATCTACTTTGGCTAAAAAACCATTTACAATCTTCTAACATATTATTTCTCAAAATGTATTACTATTTTGTAGATTATCACAACAAAGCAAAAGTGTGAGGAGAAAAACACATTTCATATGCTCACTTTCAGTTTCTAGTTCATTTTAAAGAATTAGGTGAGATAGGAATTTACATATACATGCCTTGTTTTCCAATGCTTGGTTTGGATGAAGTACTTTCACCCAAAAATTGACCTGAGTTTATTGAAAGAAAACCATAAAAGAGGCAAAGAAGTGCATGTGTTATTTGTATTAAGTGACAAGCCAGGATTAGCAGTGCATACCTGTAATCCCAGCACTCTGGGAGATTTGCTGGGAGGTTAAGGTAGGAAGATCACAAATTTGAGCCCAATCTGGGCAACTCAGCAACTGAGAAAGACTGTCTCAAAAAACACAAAGTTGCCGGGGATTTAGCTCAGTGGTTTCACCGCCTGCTGTGCAAGTGCAGGGACCCGAGTTCGATCCCCAGTACCAAAAACAAAAAACAAAACGTCTTGGAATGAAATTCAGTGTAAAGGCCCTGGGTTTGATTTGCAGTATGGCAAAACAAAGTGATCATTTAATGTTTTTGTCTAGGCAACCCAATATATGAATGAAGTAAAATAAAATTTTCCTTCACAGAATTCAGCAACAGTTTAAAAAAAGTCACTTACTTTCAAAGAAAATTTTAAAAACCAGAGAAGAGACAGAATAAAATTCACTGTGCATGTTTCCTACTAGCCCAGTTAAAAATACTACCAAAATGTGTAGGCCTAGCCTTGTACCACACACCAAACATTAGAAAGCTACAGGAAATAAGTGCTGCCAAACAAAAGGTACTTCTGACAGCCAGTTTATTCTCTGTATGCTGAGAGTATTGAATAGTCTGCACAGAAAGAATGAAGGAAATTAAGCAAAAAATATCATTACAGACCCATGTCTTTAATGTTTTCTCCTGGAAGCAAGGGTGGTTCTTCCATTTCTGCTAATTTGTTAGACTCTCTCAGGACCTGGATTAAGGGGGAGAAACAAAAAAATATTTTTTTAAATTCAAAGGCTAATTTTTCATTAAAGTTTTACCTGAGTATGACTGTGCTTAAAGATATAATATTGTATCACATACACTAATTTAAATTAAATTATAAAAACTAGTGTTGGCATGTATGGCAAGTGAAGCTGCTGTTTATTCAGAAGTATTTACTGAGCACCTACTTCAAATAGCAAAACATCTTTAAATGTATACAAAAAGCTATGTTTTTACAATGAATCCATAAAAAGCGTAATAATAAGGAGGTATTATATTTTCATTTCAGTGGTGAGAAAAGGCTAAAATACTCACAATAACATAACTAAAATGCCAGAGTCTGAATTTAAATGATAATTGTAATAGATGCCAAAGCCTATTCATTCATTCCCTTACCATTAAGCCATGCTAAAGGGCCATACTGCATTTAAACTAGGAAAACAGTAAGCCCTTAATGATGTTGATAAAGAATCTTGTTTTTTAAAAACGTATTAAACTAAAAAGCAAACTGTTATTGGGTAGTTAACTTGTGAAGGATGCTATACTGTATTCCAAGAATACAAATACAGAAACAGCTTTCTAGGTAAATTAAAACTCAGAGAATACACACACACACACACACACACACACACACACACACACACACACCAAGTTGTCATATGCTAAATACACATCCTCTGACAGCTATAAAAAGCTTTCCTTTGTTCCCTTACCACCTTCTCTGCACACAGTTAAGTTTTCTGTCTTGAATCCTTTTCTTCCTATTAATTCCTCAACCTTCTGCAATCTGGCTTCATCATCTAATCCAATCCCTCCCACGGAACCAGCTCTCTCACATTTATTAAAGACAACAATCTTATTTATAATCTCAGCACATTTGACATTGTCAATACTTTTTGCTTCTTCAAATCACACCATCTAGCTAGATTCCTCCCTCTCTAGCCATTTCTGGCTTTTTTTTATTTCCTTCCAGCCAAAAAACAGACTTAAGTGTCCTCAAAAGGAGGTAAAAAGCAAGAAAAACTGAGGTACTACCATTACTTTACAGGGCACCTTTTGCAGGCCTATGCTACTGAGTTAGATATCTCCTATGCATGAGCTCCTATCTCACTTTTAACTGCCTGCTGATCCTCTTCCCTGTCAGGTTCCCAGAGAAAAGCTACATATCTTATTTCAACAGAAACAACAGGAGCCAAGTAAATAAGTTCTAATAATCTATTAGACATAGTATGAAAGTAAAAAGACAAAATTGATTTAATACACTCTTTGTCATTTCAACCTGTAAAAAATACTTAAAAGAAATTTTACCTTTTTTAATACTAAGCCTGTGATATCACAAGTACATATGTATGTTACATCTCAATCCAGCCACATTTCAGGCATTCAATATCCCCATATTTATTGGCCTCTGTATTGGGCAGTACAAATATAATGAATATAATTCTTCCTAATGATCACGTAATTCTTTAGTTTAAGACAGATGCTTAGGAAGGATTATACAAAAGGGTTAGATATTATTGCCACAGTCCAATGCTCACCTAAAGACAATAACTAAGAACTACAAAGAAGAAATTAACTTCTGTTTAATAAATTTGTGATACAAATACATCCATTCTTTTAAAAGTTTAAAAATCTGTCTCATTAAGTAACTTCAGTGCAATAGCTAAATATCTAGAATACAATGTATACATATATTTTATATGCTCCATTCTAAAACTCAAAAAGATCATATTTAAAGATCATCATTTATTCTTGTTACTAGTCCCTGATATAGTCCTTCATGTAGTGGTCAAAAGAAAGAAGGAAGGGAGAAAAAGCTGGCCTATGGCAATAGTGGTGGTGGAGGGGTAATAAAAATTTGTACTATGTAAAAACACAAATTTTCTGGGTTCCAATCCTGACTGTGCCGCATACTGAGCTAGGTACTCCTAGGTAAAGTGTCCAACTTCTCTGTGCCCCATTTTCCCCATCTATAAAATGGTAATAATTAGTATACAAGAGGGTTGGTATAAAATTTAAATGAGTTAATACATTTAAAACATTTTTATCAGTGTTGGCACATAAGATGTACCTAATAAGTGTTGGGCCAGCCATGTAGCTCAGTGACACCGTGCCTGCCTGACAAGCACAAGGTCTTGAGTTTGATTCCCAGTACCAAAAAACCCCACAAAAAACAGATGCACCTCATAAGCGTTATCCATTAATAATTCAGACTAACACATGACTGTCAGAATCTAAGAATTTCTTCTAATTAGTACATAAAAGGTTTTACATCAAAAGATAGATACAAACAATAACATACTATACAGTAAAAAATAAAAACCTCAATGGTGTACATGTGAACAATTACGGAAAGGAAAATGTCTTACCCTTCCCTATTGCCCAAGTCTACCACTTTACTTAGAAGTACAAAGATTATTATCACTCATAGAGCTGGGTAGTAGTTTCCTATTCCACAGATATGACTTCTTGACTTCCTCTCTTTCCATTTCTACATTCAAAAGAAAACAGTAACTGACAAAAATATGAATTTGTGTATATGTATTTATGAGAAGAGAGGAGGGTGCTTCTGGCAAAGGTGCATGGTTACATGGGAGGTGTAATTCTCCTATATAAAATTTTATAAAGAAAATAAGCAAGAAAACTGATCCAACTAGCACATGTTGAGAACCAAAAGCTTTCTTATACTGTCTGTCACCAGAAAGTCAAAGAGCAAAGTAGTGATGAGAAGCAACACAAGACCCTATCTTTGTTCTACAGAGCTATACTAGATGACAGACTTAACAATAGGCATACATCAGAGATCACATGTAAGTAACTCACTCTACAGCTGAACATAAGAAAAACAACTCAAGTTAGCTCCCAAATGAACAAAGCAGAGAAAAGGACAATCCAAATCCTCTGTTGATAAATACAGGTTTCAAGACAAATCTGTCCTTAAGCAAGCAGTAAAGAAAAAACAAGAGCCTAAAAAATAAGATTATTTGACAAGGAAAAACAAACATCAGCCTGATTTTTTTTTAAAGCATTATGAAAGTAATTCCCTATAGGCTTTAGTGAGAAACACTTCTTAGCTATTTAGTATACTCAAAAGGCTATTAGCCATATTTTCTAAGAAACAGATACAAAAAGCCATAAAGATAATCACACTGAGATAAAACATATGTGTGAAATTATGATGCAAGAAAATTTACAAATGTAATAGCAGTAATAAAATCTATATGGAGTTAGTAAAGAACTGAACTGATTATTCAGAAAAAAGCATTAATGTTGAAGGCAAAAGTGAAAATTGCTCTGAGAATCTGAAGGAACAGAACAAAGATAAAAATCACGGGCAAAAATGACAAAGAACCCAGAAAAGAATTATATTTTCTAAAACAAGCCAAACAATCAAGACAATAGGCATTAAAAGTTCAATATAATTGAAGAATTTGCTTTTGAGCTGAATAAAAATTTTCTGAGTTTGCTACTCAAAATAATTTAACATGAATCCACACAAAACCAATGAAAAGAAATATGTGTAGGGGTATCATGGCAAATTTTTTGATCTGTGAGAATTAGTACAAAGAATATACAGTAGTCAGAAAAAGACAAATTGCCTTCAAAGGAAGTAAGATCACACCAGATTCAGATTTATCTGTAATACCATATTCTGGAACACAATAACATGTGTTCACTGGAACTGTGAAGAAAAACTTTCTGTGATGTGTTTAATGGCAATGAAAGTCATTTTCAGATATGAGAAGTCTGAGAAAATATAGCCCCAAAGTTTCTTTTTTGAAAAAAAAAAATTAAGTTGTAATTCAGCTGCAAAGAATCAAAATTAAAATTTTTATGAGGCGTTTATAGTAAATGGCAAAGATTCAGGTTTTGTACCCTACAAACCTGTTGTAGTCAGAAAGATTCAGCAAGGAAATACATTAAATACAGGACACATAACTTATAAGGTTATTTTACGATAATTACCCAAAAAGTCAAATGCAAAAACAAAATTGGTACTGGGAGTGGGGCATGAACCCACACAGACACAGAGTGGGTACTTGCTGTGATGTTGCCTGGCCATGTTGCTTAAGCTTAAAAGCCTTGGGAATCAGTTTGGAAGGGTTTTGAGAGACCATCCAAAGAGGCAGCCCTGGTACGCTCTGAATTATATGGCAGACTTTAGTAAGAGCCCAGAAAATCAGAGTACTGCTGCCAGCTGGGATGAGGCTTGGAAGGCTTCTGTTGGGGACTGCATTGACTGCTGGACCCCAGGCAGTATATGCTGTGCTTCAGTAAGAAGTAGGTCTGCATTTTGCTTATGTTTGGAAACATTGCCTGGGTGGCAGAAAAAATTTCAATGCTGTAAGTATACTGTTGGGATGGTAGCATGGTTACTGCTGAGGGCTTTTGGCCGGCCCTGTTCTGGAATTTAAGAGCAGAGAAACAGCAGGGTGACTTGAAGCATTCTGCCAGAGGAGAGGGTCCAGTAAAGTTGTTGACCGCAAGGATGAAACAGAGAACATGGTTGTTGAGAAGGAACATGACAATGGAAAAGTGATCTGAGATCTTTTCCTGAAGGGAAGAATGTATTTGGGATGCAGGAGATTCCTTGGGATGTCTTTTAGTGTTACCACACCTACTGTCAAAATTAATGGTAAGCAAGTGTTGTGATTTTAATAGCTCTCTCCTATTATGATTTTAATGTAGTGTATGTTGATGTATGCGAGATTGTTTTTAAGTGTTTATGTATGTAAATGGAAACCCAAAGAGTTTTAAAATTTGAAGCCATAATGGAAATGAGTGCAATGAGAATTGTGTATATGTAATTATTACATTAATGTAAATCTGAAGAGATCAAGATATGTTAACTTTTCACAAATCTGCCACTAGAGACTATGATTTAAGGAAATGTGTTTGGTTAACAAGTTGATCAGGGGTGGATTGTGGTGGACTGATTAATGGTTAACTTGTAACGCACAGCTGAACTGAATCAGTGTGGTCTGG